GGCAAAACTTGTTCAAAGTACTACTACATCTATCCCTTTGAAAGAAATAATACAATCTTTAAAAATGCTCCACCATCTTATGCAATATGTCCGATACTCTTTCAAAAGAGTACTGCATCATTTTTTTAAAAAACTTTCTTTACAGGTAAGACTCTTTCAAAGTACTACTACTGCATCTATTGATGCATTCTACTACACAGAAACAGTACATTCTTTTACAACATGCCCCACTGGCCTCAACTATTGTAGGTAATGTGTCCGGTACTCTTTGAATCAAATACTGCATCCAATTAAGGACTTTCTTTTACAGGTCAGATTCTTTCAAAGTCCTGCAGCATCTATAATAGCATCCTCCTATTACAAAATTTATGTTACAAAGCAATGTTACATGTTCTCAAAGAAATACCCCACCATTCCCCCCAAAGTATCCAAAAGTGTCAGTTTCCAGGTACTTATATACTTTGTTTGAATATGTCAAACCCAGACAGGAATGTGAAGCGTTGCACAGCTAATTCTCAAGTGCATAAACATCACAGCAATGTGAATCAATAGACAAACCCCAAAAAACAAAGAACTGGAGCAAAACCAAAAAGCCCCAAAAAAACAAAACTGTTGAGAGAATGTTTGGTTTTGACTCAAAAGTTTGTTTTTTGGTATTCCCTATTAAAAACAAAGGAAAAACAAAGAAACAAAAAAAGACAAACCTAAAATGCTGAAAAACAAGAAAACACATTGTGTTTTTTGTTTTTTTTTGACATTTTGATTGATCATATCCAGAACAAAACTCTTGCAATGACTTTGGGGATTGGTCTATTTAGGGTATTCTTTGAATCAGATTGGCCAGATTTTCAACCAAAGAAAAACCAGATGTTTCCTTGTGATAGACAGATGCTTCAGGCATGGGACAGACAGGGAATTCTTTGGTTTTTGATGGTTTTTGATGCTTTGAAATGCCTTTCCCATGGTCACTTGACCTGATTGTTTGCAGTGAAAGCAGGCCTTTTTGGCCCAAGTTCTTGGGCACCATGCCCAGCAAAAGGAAAAAAGGCGTCCCAGGGAAGTGCTCACTGCCTCCTGACTTTCAATGGGGTGGTCAGCCTCCCCTGTTTCCTGGCTATGGCATGCCATATTATGGCAGGAGGCAACACCCTGCTGCCATGGAATGGGATGGTGGTGAAGAGTCACCACAACCAGAAGATGACCAGGAGGATGAGTCCTCTCTGTCTTCATCCTCTGGCAAAAAAAAATAGAGAAAAGAAAGGAGCAAGAAAAGGTGGCTTGAGAAAAACCTTTCAAGGGGCATGCATGTTTGCATGGTGGTGGAAGTCTGTGTGCTGGTCATGTAGTTCTTTGGGGGAAATGTAAGTAAAGTAGCAGAATAGCCCATCACTGCAAAACCCAAGGTCAAAGAAGGATCACAGCAGAAGGAGGAAGTCAAAGAAAGGGAAAAAGGCAAAAAAGAGTGACAGCGGTTCCAGTGATGAAAGTGATGACAACCTTCCACAGCCCCTAGCCTGAAGTAATGACTAGTGGGGTTCACACCCACCTTGGCCATCACCCACAAGAAAAACCAAGGCTGCAGCAGCTGTGTATCTAAGGCACTGGGTTTCCCTTGGCCCTGAATTTCAGAGGGAAGGTGCACAAGCCTGCTCCAGGAAGAATTGCATCAAGCGAAGTGAACAGTTGAAACACCTCAGGGCAATAAATGCAGACAGATTTCAGCCCAGCTACTTGCTAGCAACATCAGAATGATTTGAACATACCCACCAACCATAATTGAATGTTATAGGTGTTTCATGCCCATGCCAGTTTTCATTAGCATTGGGGTGCCTAATAAACCATGTTGACACCTGGTCATTCATGGACACTGTTGTCTTGGGCCCACAGTTTTTGATGTTTTTACCTAGGCAAAGCCATTGAGCCAACTAATGGTATGGCCTCAATGCCCAGGTGCAACTTCTGGCTTGGGTGACAAGGAGCTGTGCCAGCTCTACTTCATATGCACAGGATTAGGGCCCAAGACTGCTGTGAAGGACCTTCTTGTTTCCACAAAGTCTGAATTGCAACTTGGTTTTGTGCCACCAGTTCAGTACCAACAACCATGTGTGCCCTGCTGGGTTTTGACTTCTGTGTTGTTGCAAACAGACCAGTGGCTTGCCAATGCCAAGGCAGAAGGCCATTGTGGACACAGCTGCCAGGCTGGACAAGCAGAGCCAAGGGGCTAGGCAAAGTGGAATAGAAGACACTTTCCAGCACAGGAGCAGTAAGAGTCAGTTTTTTTTTCAAAAATTTGGTACTTTCTATAGAAGGCTGCCACCTACTGTTATATACTCTGTTGGAGGGGCTGGCAGGCCACACCTGCAATGACCCAAGCTAAGCACCACCAGCTAAGGAAGACTTCAGCAACTTGGACACCTATGCCAGTTCTCTTGGCTGGTACAATATGTTCAAGAAGCAGAGCAAGGGGAAGCAGCTAGGCTGCATTGCCATGTGCCTCTCTATGCCTTGGTTGTGCAATGCCATGCATGTGGTACTCACCCCCCCAGACTTCCAGTTTTGATTGTGGGTTGTTGCATGTGGGGCTCACATTGGGCAGCACTTCAGGGGCAAGGGTGAGCAGCCAGACGATCCTCCTCAGACTGACCTGCAGTACAAGTTTGAGAAAGGGTGGCTTGGTGTGAAGATAGCTGTATAGATTAGCCATGCCATCCCAACAAGCAGCCACAACCAACCCACATTGTAGCAGCTTGCAAACCTCATTTGGTGGATTGCTTGGTTGCAGCCCAGGCCAGAGGGTGAGCTGGCTGTGGAGCATGTGGCCAGGAAGGTGAAGCATGTCATTTCACCACCAGGTGGCCCAATCAGTGTCATTTACAGGCAGGGTTCCCATATGGCCAAGATCTCTGAAACCAGCAAGACTGGTGAGACCCTTGGCTCTGAACCATTATTAACCTTGGGTGGTTTTAGGGCCTGGTGCAATCTCAAGCCATTAGTGTTTGTTGCAATTTGTGACATGGGTGGACTTTGGTGGGGCCACATGTGCTTGTCCCACTCAGGGTTGCCCAGAAGCTTGCAGAGATCTTTGACAAAGCTGATGGGGTGCAAAGTTGGTGGGGGAAAGTTGTCCTTCAGCTTGTTTAGTTAAAGTTTAGTTGGGCTTGGTGTGGGGTGTTCATTTCCAATGTTGTTAAACAAGAGCTTCTGCATGTGGGAATGGGCTCACATGCTGAAAGCTGGCTGGGAACTTTCAGAACTGCTGTTGCTACTGGTGTATTATTATGGAAATAAGAATTTTGATGTTGGTACACACACATATCATTTGAGCCATGGCTCTACCAATTTGGCACCCAAACCATCCAAACCATGAACCTGCCTGCCTGGCCTCAGGTTGAGGTTGCCCTTGAGCTTGGGGATGGTGCCTATTGGTCCAAAAGGGTGCTGAATGACATCAGAAGCCCTTGGCCATGTGTGTGTGGGTTTGGGGGCAGGTGTTTGGGCTATTATTTTTGTTGCTGCCTTGGTAACCCAACAACAGGCAGTAAATTGTTTATCATCCTTGGCTATTGCTGACTTGGGGAATTTGGCACACCACCCTGGCCTTACTTCAGAGGATCATGCCACCATTACCAGCTCTATATATTTGTATATATATATACCCATGCATAGAGTTTGGCAGGCTTGGGTGTGCATGTATCATCTTTAAGTGAGCCAATGAATGCTATCATTTTGGCTCAAGTGGAGTTGAACCAAAATAGCATTCATTGCTTTTTCTTTCTAGGTCTGGTAAGGGGTGGCCTTTCTAGACATTGATTGTTCCAGGGGTGGCCTGGTGGGTATATATATATATATGTATGTACACACATATATATATATAATGGTTATGCATCTACATGTGTATTTATATTTATATCATGTTATATATGCTGTATTTATTTGTTTGTACATATGTGTATATGTTTTGTATAGTTTTTTGTGTGTGTATATAAAAATCATGTGTGTATATATATATATATATTGATATATATATATATTGATTGTAGCAAATATGGCAAGTAACTAGACACCAATCCCCTAGACCCACTTGTTACAGGCCTTCCACCCAGACCCACTTGCTGAGGCCTTCCACCAGACCATTGGCAACACAAGCAGCTGGTCAATTTAGAGGGGCAGAAGCCAGATGTACTTGTGGCCACAGGTTGCTCAGCAGCCCTAGGCTCTAGACAAGTATTGAATGTAATGTTTTTCCTTGTGGGCTATGGCCTGTCTAGTTCAGGCATCACTGTTCAACCCCAAGGCTTTGAATCCAGCCTTCCAGCAACTTCAACCTATGGTGAGTCAACCTGTTCAGAAGCTTCACAGGCAAGGACTTACTTAGAGCAGCATATGGCTGCATGGCTGCATGGTGTGAAAACCATCATTGTCCTGCAAGTTGTGGTGTTACAGCCTTGGGATGCTATGGGCCATGGGCATATAGTATAGTATGGTCAAACCCAGCCACTTGCATTCTTACTACTGGTGTTGCACTGTTTTTGGCATTGCTTCTTTCCAAAGCACAGTTTTGAACCATACTGCTCATGCACTGGGTGTGGGGCATGTGCGTTTGTTTTTGGAGCCTTTGGTCACTGTAGAGGTGTCTGGAAGTGTGAAGCATGCAGTGTCAATGTATGACCCCAGCAAGTGGCCACAAAAAGAAGTCCAGAAGCCACTGGAGATGTTCATGCAGCCCAAGCAGAGCCAACAAAGCACAGCAGTGCCAAGGCAGCAGCCTGAACAAAGGCAGCTGGCACAAACTGAGAGCAACTACCTCCATGCAATGGGGCATTCAACAGGTGGGGCACAGCAGGCACAGCCACACACACAGCAAGTGGCTGTCCAACCAACACAGCCAAGCCACACACAGCACCAGCAGGCACCTGCAATGGCTGTAGCACAGCAACAGTGGCAAGCATGGCACTACAACCAGCAAGGACCACAGTTCCAGCCAGCATGCACATCACAAGGAAATGCAGGTCAACAACAGGCATTAGCTGGGCAGCAGCAGCCACCACACATGCCACAAAGCAATGCCCAACCACATGCATTGGTTTGGCAGCAGCAGCCACCACACATGCCACAAGGCAATGACCAAGCACTGCAGGGTTGGGGTGGGCAGCAGCAGCCACAGATGCAACAAGGCAATGACCAAGCACTGCAGGGTGGGGGTGGGCAGCAGCAGCCACAGATGCAACAAGGCAATGGCCAACCACATGCCTTGGCTGGGCAGCAGCAGCCACCACAGCAGCAACCACAGATGCAACAAGGCAATGACCAAGCACTGGAGGGTGGGGGTGGGCAGCAGCAGCCACCACAGATGCAACAAGGCAATGGCCAACCACATGCATTGGCTGGGCAGCAGCAGCCACCACAGCAGCCACCACAGATGCAACAAGGCAATGGCCAAGCACTGCAGGGTGGGGGTGGGCAGCAGCAGCCACAGATGCAACAAGGCAATTGCCAACCACATGCATTGGGTGGGCAGCAGCAGCCACCACAGCAGCAACCACAGATGCAACAAGGCAATGACCAAGCACTGCAGGGTGGGGGTGGGCAGCAGCAGCCACAGATGCAACAAGGCAATGGCCAACAACAGGCATTAGCTGGGCAGCAGCAGCCACCACACATGCCACAAAGCAATGTCCAACCACATGCATTGGTTTGGCAGCAGCAGCCACCACACATGCCACAAGGCAATGACCAAGCACTGCAGGCTTGGGGTGGGCAGCAGCAGCCACAGATGCAACAAGGCAATGACCAAGCACTCCAAGGTGGGGGTGGGCAGCAGCAGCCACAGGTGCAACAAGGCAATGGCCAACCACATGCATTGGGTGGGCAGCAGCAGCCACCACAGCAGCCACCACAGATGCAACAAGGCAATGACCAAGCACTGCAGGGTGGTGGTGGGCAGCAGCAGCCACCACAGATGCAACCAGGCAATGGCCAAGCACTGCAGGGTGGGGGTGGGCAGCAGCAGCCACAGATGCAACAAGGCAATGGCCAACCACATGCATTGGGTGGGCAGCAGCAGCCACCACAGCAGCAGCCACAGATGCAACAAGGCAATGACCAAGCACTGCAGGGTGGGGGTGGGCAGCAGCAGCCACAGATGCAACAAGGCAATGGCCAACCACATGCCTTGGCTGGGCAGCAGCAGCCACCACAGCAGCAACCACAGATGCAACAAGGCAATGAACCAAGCACTGCAGGGTGGGGGTGGGCAGCAGCAGCCACAGATGGCAACAAGGCAATGGCCAACCACATGCATTGGGTGGGCAGCAGCAGCCACCACAGATGCAACAAGGCAATGACCAAGCACTGGAGGGTGGGGGTGGGCAGCAGCAGCCACAAATGCAACAAGGCAATGGCCAACCACATGCATTGGCTGGGCAGCAGCAGCCACCAGAGCAGCAACCACAGATGCAACAAGGCAATGACCAAGCACTGCAGGCTGGGGGTGGGCAGCAGCCACCACAGATGCAACAAGGCAATGGCCAACCACATGCCTTGGCTGGGCAGCAGCAGCCACCAGAGCAGCAACCACAGATGCAACAAGGCAATGACCAAGCACTGCAGGGTGGGGGTGGGCAGCAGCCACCACAGATGCAACAAGGCAATGGCCAACCACATGCCTTGGCTGGGCAGCAGCAGCCACCACAGCAGCAACCACAGATGCAACAAGGCAATGACCAAGCACTGGAGGGTGGGGGTGGGCAGCAGCAGCCACAGATGCAACAAGGCAATGGCCAACCACATGCATTGGGTGGGCAGCAGCAGCCACCACAGCAGCAACCACAGATGCAACAAGGCAATGACCAAGCACTGCAGGGTGGTGGTGGGCAGCAGGGGCCACAGATGCAGCAAGGCAATGGGGGAGGGCAGCAACAGAGTCCACAGGTGGAGGCAAAGACAAAGGAGGATGCAAAGACAGGCCAGGAGGTTGGCCACTAGCCTGATTGAGGGGTGGTGTGTGTGTGTGTGTGTGTGCCTGTCAACCCATTTGGTTTTTAGCTTGTATGGGGTGCCTTACCTGATTTCTGTAGTGGTAAGAACTTAATTGTTTGGTGGTAGCAATGTGGTGAAAAATGTAGCCACATACATAATAGCAAGCTATATGCTTTGGTGGTTGAAATTGGGCATGCTTGGTAGTTGCAGTGGGCATTTCTGTCTGGCTGAGGAGATCTGTTTGCCAAAGCCAAAGCCCAGAGGGCAAAAAATGCTGAACTTTGGCAGCTGGATTGGGGTTGGCCTGACAGCAGTGGCAAGAATTTTGAACTGTATAAAAGCAGATAAATGTGACCAATTAGCATATATATATATATTATATTTGTTATATAGGCATTGTAAGCAAATAGGGCCCTAAGAATTATGGGTTTGATTATGGTTATACCAGCAGTGTCTGAAATTTTAAATGCCACTCTAGCTGGCAAGAACACCAGCATTCAACAATGATGGCAATATGTTTGCAACCTCTTTTGTCTGCTCACTGCTCAGGAAAAGGCTGGAAAGCCCAAGAACCAGGAGGTACACCAGGTTGACTAGTCACACTGAGCCTTGGGAGCCTTAGGGTGCTGTGGCAAGCCATGGGGTAGCCACCCACTTATACCTTATATTCAAAAAGAAACCTATACCTTATTGCAGGAACATTGCCAAATAACAAGAGGTCCCTTATATTCTTAGCTGTTACTGCTTTATAAAAAGGGTGGCAGATATAAGGCTTGGAAGCATCAGGGGTTTCATGTTTTAGGGTAGGCCAAACCTTTTCTACTTGAAGCATCAAGAGTGCAACAAAAAGGCTGCACATTCCATATGGTCCCATTGCTGCTGTGGATGCAAAACTTGCCAAACTATATAATCAATCTAATTGATTGATCCCATCCATTGGCACCATTGCTTTGCCCAGATGAAGCACTTGCAGTGCCTCAGAAATTCAGTGCTCAGCCAGCCAGTAGTGCCCCTTTGTGGCTGCAGCTGGCTTTCCATGCACCTGGACTGCAAATATAATGTGGTATCTGGCTTCCTCAAATGTGGGAAATTCATTATCCAAATTGGTGCCCCCATTAAAGGCTTAAAGGTGGTAACATCCAAAGGGGTGCTAGAAAAGTGGGGTGGTGAAGGGCTTGCCCCAAATCTGGGAAAACAGCATGGTAAAAAATTGGGCAGCATTCTGTTCCTATCCTAATGCTCCAGGGGTGCTAGAAAAGTTGGATGCTAGGCTTTCCCCAAATCTGGGAAAAGTGTGGTTTTCTGTGGTTTTTCATGGTTTTCTGTGGTTTTGCACAGTTTCTTGTGGTTTTATGTTGTTTGGTGTGGTTTCTAATGGTACCCCATGGGTTTCTAAGAAAATCCTGCTGTGGGGCTGCCACAAAACAGCTGCAGGTCCATGAGTGCAAAAGAAGGGGGCATGCCTTCTGCCATTCAATCTCCTGCTCCCAACTGTTCTGGCTTCTACCAGGGGTGGGAGAAGGAATGGACTTGGAACCCTTTGACCAGCCAATGGGATTTCCTCCACAATGTGGCTGATGCACCTGTGGGCCCATACCTAGATGAGCCCATGTCGCCCAAGGATGATGATGCAGCCACCTCTGAGGAGTCATTCCTTGGCTTGGTGGCTGCAGATGAGGAGAAAAGGAATCAGCTATGGGATCATGAGATGGAAGTCAGGTATAGGAGTGCTGGCCTGACCCCACTGGAGAAGGATGCCTTGGAGAAGATGACCACTGGCCCAGACAAGAGCATCAGAGATGCCAACAAGGTGATTGCCCACTTTGGCAAGAGAACAGGGGCAGGGGCTTCCTCCAAGAGGTTGGTTGAGAAGATGATGTTCGACAAGGGGTTTGTCCCAGGCCAATGCATCAACTTCTGCAGTGGCCAGTTCTCAGTCATGAAGCACTGTCTCCTGGCAGGGTGGGCTGAAGACAGGCACAATTCAGCTGCTCCAGTAGGATGCTACTGCCTGCCAGAGACCAGCTTGATGCCTGCAGGGTGCAGGCACAAGAAAAGGGGTGGTTACCTGTGCAGCCAATACAGGCAGTCCCTCTGCTCTGACTGCAGCAGGTGCATGAGGTGCCAAAGGCTTCTTGTCTTTTCAGTCAATGGGGTGGGCTGCATGTGGAAGAGTGATTGAAAACATGGATGGTATGAGGTGCAAGGGGTCACCTGTTTTTGATTAAAAGAATTTTGGAAACAAGCATGCTTGCTGTCCATCATGTGGGTTGGCCTGAGGCTGTGCAAGCTGGCTTGCCAAATGGACCCAAATTGCAAGTTTGGAGAGATGGTGATGTGCAGGTGCAGCCCTTTGTCCTTGCACAGCCCTGAAAAGTGGCAGCACTGAGGAGTACTTCTGCTGCATTAGTATGTCCCAACCATACCATGATTTGCATGAGCACCATACCTACTGGTTTGCCAAAGTTTTTTTTAAGGCACATCCCTTCCACTTTTGAAAGGAACATAAACCTTACAGGTCCCCAGGAATTTCTCTCCTAAGGACCATCCCTTCCATTATGTAGAGGAACCAAAAAATTACCTGTTCCAAGTGATTTGTTTGCCAGATTTTGCAAAGGCTGACCTTTATGGAGTGCAATGGATGGCTGAAGCCACTCCCCTATGGATGGCACCTTGTATGCAGTGAGCTGCATGCTATTGAACCAGTGGGCCTGTGGTGGCCCAAGCTGAAACCCAATCTAGGACCCAGCTTGTTTGGGTGCCCTTGAGGCTGGTTGTTATTCGATGAGGATATAGCACCCTTTTGAGGGGTGTCTTTTGCACCTTGGCTTTGCATTGGTGTGGTCCCACTGTGTGCTTGAGTTTCCATGCAGTGTGGCATGCAGGTTCATCCAATATTATGCCAGCCAATGCTGGCCAGCTTAGGATTTGCTTGAGCCATGGGTGCCAATTTGGCATGTGTGTTTGGCAGGCCAGTGAGTGCTGTACCTGAGAACCTGTGGTTCAAGCTCCAGGCAAAGCCTGCACACTTGTTGGGAAGAAAGCTTTCCCTACCCTTTCGCCTTTTCTTGTTTCACCCCTTCCCTGCCCTTCATGGTAGAGGAGCAGCTTGTGGTGGCTGAACCTATCCAACAGCAACTGGCTGGGCAAGCTGGAAATGAATTTGAGGGTTTCCAGCTGCCATTCCCTGTTGCCACTTTGACTGACTTGGGGCAAAGGGCATACCTCAGGAATGGGAAAGTTGAGTGGCTTTATGCCAGGGTCCATGAGCATTGTAAAGTCAACAAAGAGCCTGGAAGGATGCTAAGGGACAACAAGGAGAGCATACTGCTGGCTTTTGATGAACACCATGTTCCAAGAGCTGAATTGCACTACAGAGGTAAGGGGCAAGGTGGTGATGACAGTGCCCAAGACCATGATGGGTCACCACACACTCTTGAAAGCAGGGGATTCTTGGCCTTATTGCTGTGGATGCTGAAGAACAAATCCTTGAAGGCAATCAACAAGGTCAAAGCTTTATCCTTACTGCTGAGCCTTGTTGAAAAAAGCTTTGCCTATGCTGACAAAGCCATCCCAGTCATGGTTCAGATGGTGGGAAGAGCAGGGCATCTGGTCAGCCAAGAGATTCTGTTTTCACCCCAGGGCTTGTCCACATCCTTGAAGGCACTGCTGGACCATAGCCTTGGGCTCACTACCCTGTGGAAGAAGCTGGGCTCCAGGTGCTGGCTGAACAGATGCATCTCTTCTTCACCAGAGAATGTGTCCTTGTCAGACTTGGTTTTCTTCCTGGCTTACCTGTACTGCCACCCAAGGCTGGCCATGGATGGACAAAGGCTGTGGCTTGTCTTTGGAAAGCTCAGCTTGGGAGAGCTCCTTGTCCACATTGCCTTGTGGATGACCAACATGGCAGCAGACTTGGGCAACCAGACTTTGAAGGCCCTACCTGTTTTGAGGGGCAAGACTGGGCAAGCCAGAAAAGTTGCTGACCCAATCAACAAAATACTCCTGCTGTGGAAATTGAGGAAAGAGAAGGTGCACAGGCAAAGGGTTGCAGCCACCCACACTGAGCTTGGTGGTGCCAGCAGCAGGATGATGGCCTTTGAGCATTACATTGACTGCTTGCTGCACACACATGCCTTGGCAGAATCTTTTGATGGCTGCAGGCAGCTGTCTGTAAGCTGGGACCCCTCCACCTATGGTGGAAAAGACACCTTCTTTGGTGTGGTGTATGATGCTGCTCAGGACAAGGCAGCATACCTTCTTTCCCAGCAACTTGGCACTGTTGTCCTTTCTGAGCTAGGCACAGAGCTGGTTCCACTTGCCAAGTCAAGGAAGCTGACCAGGATGGATGGCTACAAGGAAATTAGAGGGTTGTCAGCAGCACTGAGGAGCATTGGGATCTCTTTGGGGGCATTCTCAGTCCCACCTGGCTTGAGATGCTATCCGCTGGCACCTCATGAGCTCAGAATGGTTGATGATGATGGTAGGGCTTGGATCCTCAATGAGAAAACCAAGGCTGTAGTGCCTGAGGTTCCTGATGGCATTGACCTGGGTGGCTTGCCACACCTTGTGTCAATATCTGACCAAGGGCCATCAAACATGGCAGCATTGTCATATGTTGCCTACAGTTCTCATGCCCTGCTCCTCCATGCCACCTTCGATCCCTATCACAGGGCCTGGAATGATTTGAAGAGTGCAATGAAGAAGGCCAAGTGCAAGGCATGGAGGTGTGTGCTTGAGCTCACCCTGGTTGCCAACATGAACTATGGTCCCTTTGGGTCATCAAGCTGGTATTTCAGGAAAAAAGCAAGGCTTGAAGATTTCCTCCTGGCAAGGGGTGTTTCTTCGCCTGCTTGGCAGAAATACCAGCATTTGATTTGCCTTGAGAGGGGGGTTGGTGAGCCCAGGGCAGTGGAGGATGCTTTAGCCCTTTTCAGGTCCATGGCCACCCTCAGAAATTTCAGCCAGAAGGGGCCACTCATCAAGTTGATGAGGTGGTTCTCTTG